AATCGCCGTTAAATATCGAATATGAACGCTATACTATGTTAAAAACGGAAATATTCCGCAATGGATGGCAATTATTGTAAAGAAACAATTAATTTAAAAGTTAAAATATCGTCTTCCAATGCATCATAATGAACAAACGAGGGATATTATTGAATACCCGATCCAAAACTCCGGGGGTTTAAATAGTCAGATGTTCTTAAATAGGAAAAAATGCTGCTATCAATAATATTCAGATCAATTACCAAACATTTAAATTTTTCGAAATTATATAAATAATTATAAAATAATTACATTCAAACAAGTAAAATTTTCATGAATTTTGTTAATATCATTAAGCCAAATACATATTGAAATTATCTGTATACTTACTTTTGTGACGTAGATTTTGCACCTATTTAACTACACCTTAAATGAGAACTCATGTAACCAAAATAACCCGGCAAAAAGTAGTGAATAATAATTATCATAATTGTTTTTAATAAATAATGTGTTACTTTTTTTAAATAAAACCAATTGTCAGTATTTCTGTATACTTATTTTTGAGATTAACTGTACATACATAACTTGAAATTTTATAAAATTAATATTTTGCAAATATGTATGTACAGTATGGTGGAGGGTATAAAAGATTCGGCAAAGGCTAATAAAGACTTTATACTGCTTTATTATATACTAGCTATACCCTGTGTGCTTCGCTACCCTCATCGTAATGAAATTAAATAAAAATTATTGTAAATTTTCAGTCAGTCCGATATACATTTAGGTATATCTGCAGTATCAAAAAGTCCCCTTTCATAGATTTTCATACAGGTTCCTAGGTTCAATCTATATATATAAAATTCTAACGTTACTGACTGACTGACTGATTAATTATCGCACAGCCTAAACGGTTGTATTTCATAATTTTTTTTAGTGTAAATATTACAGGAAATTCAAAAAATATCAGTTGGAGAACGAAAATGTAAGAGAAAGTCCCTTTTTATAGATTTTAGTTAAATAAGGATTGAGCATGTTAAATTTTCAACCAGAAATTCCTCTCATACAGATTTTTATACATTCAGGAAGCTGTGTGTCCAGTTTTATGTTTTTAGGTTCAATAGTATAGAAAATTCAAAAAGTAATACTAAAAGAACAAAAAGTACCAGAAAGCTTCTTTTTATAAATTTTCGTTCAAAGTTTATATATTCAATCCCAAAAAAAACACGGTAATGGGTTGTACTTCCATAACCACTTCCTTTTCAATGACTACTACTTACTCTGCATTACTTAGAAGTATTCTAGTAATGACTTTCTTATAATCTGATATAGAAGTACTTTATTTTCGGCTTTGTTATTTTGTTTGCACATTTTATTTAATTGCGTTTAAGAATTGTGTTTTACAAAAAATAAAACAAAATTAGTTTTGTTTGTGAAAACCATTATTTGACGCGCAATAAAATAGCTAAGCAGTGGTGCAGGGTGTAGAACATCTGACTAACAAACCAAAGTCCCTGGTTCGTATTCTAGCTGGCTCTTTTTATTATTAAAAAACAAAACAACTTACTGAACAACTGTTTTGTAAGAGAAGTTGCAAGTACTTCTTTAACTCCCTATTGTAAGCGTACGTAGAAGTACTTGCCTCCAATGACATCAATGTGTTAAAATAATGACTTAAAATGATAATGAAGAAGTAGTGAAAAGAGGTTTTATTAGCTTTTTAACTCATTACTTTTCAATGTAAGTTTTTCCTGGGATATTTTACAAGTATAAAAAGTATACGAAAACATACCAAAATACATCTTTAATTTATTTTTGTGTTTCTAAGTTCAATAGTTTCAATGTTTCTAGGTTCAATATTATAAAAAATTCAAAAAATACCTATTGAAGAACGAAAAAGTACCAAAAAATTATCTTAAAAATTGCGGCCTGTAGCGTACGCACAAGGATTACATAGACACACAGACGGACATAGCTAATTAACTCAGAAAGTGATTCTGAGGCGATTGATATACTTTAAGGTGGGTGTAGGATCAATATTTTTGGATGTTCAAAAACATCAGCTCAAACGCATAATACCCTCCCCACTATAGTGGTGTAGGGTATAAAAAAAACAATAATACATAATTCATTTAATATATGTACATATCAGGCATGGAAAAATTAAAAAAAGTACTAACCTACACGCAGAGAAAAAACATGGTTGTGGTAACCAAGTTCCAAGAGCAACATATTATGGTTAAAATTATGATTGTAGTCTTAACATAATATCGTTATTGTAACAAATTTAAAATATCATATTATGATTAAATACCGTTAAAATTATTTCATCATAATATTTTTCTATTTATCATAATAATATTGTTATACATGATCATATTATGATCCAATGTGTTCAAAATTTCATTCAAAACTATGTATCGAAATCAAAATAAATTTTACTGAAGCAGTAAAATTACAGTTTCTAAAAAAAGTAAAAAAAAAATATATATATATATATAAATAAAGATTACATACTTACAATACTTGAGCACACTTCGCAAATTTCAATTTGATTCACAAAAACATAACTACATTATTCTATGCAAACTGAAATACTTATACATTTAATGCTATAAACCAAATGAGAATTATTCATTTTATTGTCGCGTAAAAAACACACACGAAAAAGTAATCTCTGTGAGCAAAAGTTGTTTTGTTGTTGTATTAATTTGTTGATGTATCAGCAGACATATAACAACATAACATATAATTGTTTTTTATAACAACATAACATACAATGGTTATATAACATAACATATTATGGTTATTTGCAAGTTTAAATGGTTGTTAATAACAGAATATGTTTTCCTTGTTATCAGTATTTAGTTGTTGTAAAAATAATTATGATTCAGTGAATTATACTCAAATTTATAATTGCCTGGAACATGAAAATGTTTACAGTAACTTAAATATTGTTAAAATCTAATTAAAATAACAATTATATGTTTTTGAAAACAATATATTGTTACAGTAAACATGGGATAGTTGTAGTAACCATTTTGAACCATGTTTTTTCTCTGCGTGTAATTTTCAGCTGTACTAGATAGTCTATATTCTAGTCTGGATTAGACTAGACAGTAAAGCTATAGAGACAAATTTTAAGTATGTGGTTAATAATATGTAAGGTTTCACCATATATTTATATAAGAAACCAATAATAAAAATTCTCAAAGATATGAAAGGATGAATTTTTCAAAGGAATTTTTCGTCCTGAAAAATAAAAACAAAAAATAGTTTTGCCTTCCGCAGTTTGTCCTCTTTAATTTGATACCCATATTGACAAAAATTATTCTGTAATTTTTTTTAATAAATGTTAATATACTTAAAACTTTAAAGTCCTTTAAAAAGGAGAAAAGATCACAAAATGAAAAACTGAAAACTCAGTTTCACTTTAAATGTCCTCTGTATACCTTTCGGTATTACATAAATATATATCTATTCACAAAATTTTATCATAAATTGCTTAAATGTATCGGAAACAATGTAGTATTGAAGATAAATGCTTTGTTATGAGAAATAAATAACATTTAATATTTATAACTGGTGTAGGGTATCATATGATCGGTCACGCCCGACTATACTTCTTACTTGTTTTTGTTAAAGATATTTTCAGCGTACTTTTTTACAAACCCTAAATTTGGATTATGCAAAGAACTAAACATCGAAAAGTATTATATTAGTGGTATATTATTATTTCCATATTCTAACTATAAGAATTTTATTTTTTATCCGTAGTATATAATTGTCATTGGATTGGTACTGCTTGTTGTACATTTAAATTGAAAATTCTACTCAATTTATCATCCCTGTTTCATACACTCCTTTGCTGATGTCATGTTTTTAGGGGAGAGAATAGGAATAGTGAAACATCCCTTGTTTTATGTTCTCTTTTTGTTGTCATTTAAGAATACAACTACTTGTTATAATTTGTCTAGTTCGTACAGGAATGGAAAATTTAATGCTATCGTATTGAAATAGAAAATTAAAAAACATAATAATAGGATTTATTAGTACATTTACATGTATTAATTTTGTAGTATATAAAATTACTTAAATTTTAAAATTTTATTTTTTTATAACTATTGTCAAGTAAAAATGAATTAATTATTAATTAAAAATTCGTGAGTATAAGACAATTTTTAAATTACTAGTAAAATGAGAGAAATTAAATAATAAATTTATTTTATTATTTTATATTATACAAATTTATGATATATAAAACTGATATATAAATATAAAAATGTCTTTACTTTTACAAATTTAATCCCCCCTAAACATATACATATGTACACACACAACTAAAATTTTAAAGATTAAAAAATTTTAAATTTAAAAGAGGTGTTTATCAGCAATAGATTTTAAATGTTTATAAGTCATCCTTATAAATATTCGAAAAGTCAGCGACCCTACGAGTAAATTGTCTTTCAGAATAATGAATTAATGAAATTATCTATGAGAGTAAAAGGCACTGGTAAGATTTCAAAACAATTTCAAAGTTTCCATGCCTGGACATAAAATCATCCTTTGGAACATATTTTTGACATGTGTGTGTGTTTTTTTAACATGACATATGTGTCGGGTTAATAAATGTTACAAATACAGTGCGTGTTAGTCCTTAAAACGGTATAAAAGAATTAAAAAAAGAAAATAAATAATTTTAGTTTTTCCCAAATAAATTTAGAATATAAAAAAAATTCCTGTGTGAATATGGAAAAAAGTGACGATGAAAGTGGTTCCGATAAACATGAAGAAAAACAAATTATTTTAGAAACATCAACACAACATGAAACTAATCAACTTCCACCAACGGTTGAAACTTTTGAGGCCAAAAATGAAAACTATGCCAGTCGGCAACAACAAAATGCTAACTATAATGATGATGATTACAATGATGATGGAGCCAGATGTGAAGAATTAAAGCAACTTCAGCTCTTAAAAAAACGCAATAACCAAAAACTTAAAGTTACATGTGAAAAGTATGACTATGATTTCTTCAGGTTGGAAAAATCCATTAACATGCCTTCTGCTCCAAGCATAACATCTTTTTCATATACATCAACATCGCCGTCATCTGCATCATCATTGTCGTCAGAATCAGTATCTTCCAATACCACCACATTCATAAATAACTGCTCGAAAAAAGACAAAAAAACTAGTGCAATTAACAACAATTGTAACAATCAAACGACTTATCTCCAACACAATCATCAAACCCCGCCAAGATACAATCACAAAAAAGACCAACAAATGCTAAACTTTGAAGAAGTTTCGCACGATAAGTTAAAAACCGAAACTCCTTCTTCATCACCTATACCACCATCACAAACTAAACGACAAATGCAACAAGTAAAATCAAGTCACCATGGGAATGAGTGTAATAATACGCACAGAGATTTGTAAGTTACAATACACATTATTTTATACTTACATATCTCTTATTTCCTACAAGACTGTCATAACTCATAATTCGGGTTTTTATGAATTTTATTACAAAATATGAACCTTTTTAAAGTATTTCATATTACTTTATCTATTTTGGTGGTGATTTTTTGCAGTAAACATCAAAACTAAAATTCACGTTTAATAATATATGTACATATTTTATGACCACACAGTAAAATACATATTAATTTATACCTTATTTACCTTTTTATGTTTAAAATCCGAAAATTTGTTAAAAAGTTATTTCATAAATAGTAAAACGTCATAAAATATTTGCAGCCGCTTTTCTCGAAACGTCTTTTTTTTGGATTATTCCAGACTTGTTGTAAATGACCAATATTATGTCATATGTACATATGTATGTATATTTACTGGCATACGTATTTACATATGTACCATAAGTACGTACATTGCAATGTACAATGCATTGTAGCAAATATAATTTTATTAATGTTCAGAGCGGATTTCACTAATATTATTACGCACACAGGAAATTACAAATTTTAATGCAAATATTTCACAATTCGCGGATTCACACCCTAGGGTTTTCTCTTAACTTTGAAGGAGCGGGTCAAATTATTAAAAAGAAAGCTTTGATCCTTTCCTTTATAACTCAAAGAACGGTTTTTTAAATTTTTAGCATATGGGCAATTCCATGAAAAGGTAAACCACGACTGAAACCTTTTATTTGTTGAGGTGTGTGTGTGCATGTATTTCCAATATATATATTTTATAACCTAAAAAAAATTCAGGAGAAAAATCAAATGCGTCACGTACGATATTCAAAAATGTTCATTATAAAATTATATTAATTTTTATTTTTATTTAAAAATTATGGATTACGAATGAAAGATATGTCCCATAGTGTGAGAAATTAAAACAAAAAAGATAAACCTACAGTATTCGCAGATTTTCGTAAATATTTACATGTACTTCAAAAACACTTCCGTTTTTCGTCACGAATGATATCGCTATATTTTAATCCATATGTTGGAAAACAAGATTCCGAATGGGATGATTCCTTTTGCAAGTATAGTATTCTCAGAATGGAGCAGAATATCAATATTGTTTTCCAAGTACATACTACCATTTTTACCAAATCTATACCACTCTGAAGGCGTACGAACATCACGTATAATCGTATGGAATTTCCCATATGCAAGTTTTGTTTTTTTTTTTCAAATTCAAAATCGGTTATTTTTTAATTCATTAAAGATATTGACATGATATGTTGCATGTGATCGGAAATTTTGTTGCCTACCTAATAAAAAAAATTGGGAAAAATCGTTTCAAAATTACGCCCGCTATTTTTTAAAAAACTGGGCAAGGCAAAATTTTTAAATTTTAATTTTCAAATGGCTATAACTTGAAAATTATAAGAGATAAATTTAACACACTTTAGCTCATTCAGAAAAAATCTTTGAAACCGGATGGGAAAAAAAGAAATGACACCACTTTAAAAAATGTTCATGTCCTACTTTTATGGCGGCAAAATTTAAATTGAAATACTTCTTAACTACTCCGTTTCGAAAAGCCGAAATAATTTTCAAAAATGTGATTTTGCCCTCTGTGCATACATAATAATAAAAAATATCAAGCTTTCTTTTGAGTCAAAAAATGAAAAGGGCAAAAATTGGAAAATAAATTAAAAACAATTTTCAAAAGAAGTGCAATTTTTTCCAAAATATCGAAGAGATAGCTATCTAATAGAGTTGTCAATTATTCGTGTTTAAAATTATTCAAATAAAAATCTACTAAATTTTTTTTATTCGAGGAGTCGATTAAATTTTAAAATTTATTCGAACGTATAAAAGTTTTTATTTGAATAATTTAATAAAATATAAATAAAATTTGCCAAACACATTCAAAATTTTAAGATACGGGTAAAAACGGTTTTCGTACACACTTATAAATCAGTAACATAGTTGAGTCTTAACCTATTTGAAATTTCTCAACGGATTTAAAAGTGGAAGCTGAGGCCTTTATAATGATATATACGATGTTTTGCAGACGTTTTTACACACCAGGGATGGCAAAATTGGTACGATGGTACTTTTTATGATACTATTTGATGTTCAAAAGTACCGTTGTACTCCCGAGTCTTATTTGATACTCTCAGGGCCAGACAGATAGATAAAGAATTTTTGTATGAAAACCTTTAATTTCGATAAAAAAAAAACTAACAGGTTAAAGTATATTTCAAATTTTAAATTCCAAGAGTGTTTTAGCACATTGTTGTATAAAATTCTCAAAAATGCATCAACTAAAAGCCGTTTTTTTCTAAAAAAAATAATAATAAAATTATAATAATAATAATATTTTATGAGAAAATTACCAGAAATTTAAAAAAAATTAAAATAATATTTGACTTTAAAACAAATGATTCCAAATGATAGGAACTCGAAGGATTCAATCTACTATAAAACGATATGTTTTGAAACTAAGCATTATTTAACCAAAGATAATATAAGAAGTTTTAGGTCAAAAATATTTGGACTTTTAAGCAAATTATTGTTTCATGTCATATTCAGAATCGGATGTACGAGTAAATATCCTATTTAAGGTCCCACGACGGATTTTAATTCAATAACACATATTTAAGCGATTTATTGACAATGAACAGTCGATACTAATACTTGAAATTCTAAATTCGTCCTTTTATAGGGCGAAATGTGGCCTGATTTTAATTAATGCCGGATTTATTAAAATATAATAAATTATATCATGACAGCTTTAAATTTAAGATATTTACATAGTACAATATCTGGCTAATATTTGAGATGTAAAAGGTGAACATTGAGGGACGGACAAGGATTCATCATATTAACATATAATGCCTTTCTACTTCTGTTACGGATTGTTTAAAAAAAATTAAATGTAAATGTAGTTAAGAAATTGCCATCATTTAGCAAAAAAATATTTTAGTACTTTGAGATCCAAAAAAGTACCCTCTGAAATATTTTTTGATACTGACACAAAATCTCACTTTCCATCCCTGTTACACACTGTTTTATATAAGAAAATCGTACTATGTATTAGAAAAAGGCCACAATCGGGTCTGTTGTCCGCTGCTTTTCATGGAAGAAAAAGGTTTGTTGGTAAAAAAAAAACAACAACATGTCCACTGAATGTATTATCTTTCAATATTCTGAGACCGTAATTCCTAAGAATTTCCCAATCAGTGTTCGTGAGAAATGTTCAGCTTGAACAAGACAGTGTTTCAAAGTTTCCGACATACTTATACTGTGTCTGGTATACGATCAGTATACATTGATGACGTGTCCTATAATGGCTTTTGGCCAGTTTACCTAAAGTTATGAGCCGTTCGGTTGTAAGTGCCGCCTCATATCTTAAATATGTTTCAATGGGAAGAATATCTAGCAACGTTTCTAGAGCCTTGCTTGACGTTTTGCTTATGGCACCAATTGTACCCAAGCATCATGTACAATGAACTCCCTGTTGTAGTTTGATAGAAGTCAACCATATTATTGAAGCATAAGCTAGAATTAGTCTAATTACACTTTTGCAAAACCAATATGTTATAGTAGGACTAAGAGCCCAATTCATGCCTATAGTTCTCATACATATCGCCCAGCACCAATGTGCCCTTTTGATCCTATCCTCTATGTGGAGTCTCCATTTTAATTTTCGGTGAAGGGTTACACTCTCTCTTTCACCGATATCTTCTTGGCCAGGAAACAGTGTTCAGTATACTTAGAAATTTTTGTCTTTCTTATGAAAAGACAGATACTTAAATAACTAAATTAATCAATGCTTATCTGTTTCACTTATTGCAAACATTTAAAATAAATAAGATAATCACTTTTAAAACTAGAACCTTTTTATTTTTAACATTGCAAACCTAAAACTTTTATAAAATGCAAAAAGTAGTTTTGTTTCAATTATAACATATATTTATATTTAGATTTGTTTTACAAAATATTAACATAATTTCAATGCTATGTATAATAAAATATTCGTAAAAAGTAACATTCAAATATTATTCGAATACGGGAACTACAATTTTTAGGAAGACAAAACTGAAGAAAAAACAAGTTAGTGTACTATATTCGACTATCCCGAATCTTAAATACACTCCATTGTTTTCAAAATAAAACTTTAATAAAACCTGTAAGCTTTTATTAAATAAATCCCAAATATATTTTTAGGGATTTATTTCATTTTTGAATTTTGAGGAATTAATAACTCCCCATTTTAAATGTGAAATAATGCGCTCAAAAACGAATTAAATCCCCAAATTTCGTTGTTTTTGCTTTCTGAACAAATTTTTAGGGAGTTATTTTATTTTTGTTTTGGGGTGTTATTTCATGACGCCTGAAGCCCCACTCGAAAGTATGAGCGACCTACTACTTTTAGAAATGTCACTAAAACCGACAAGTTTCATAATTTGTTATTTTTAAATGGAAACTTATTTAATTTTGAAATTAGGGATTCATTTCACATGAAGTAAATCCCCAAAAATGGGGTGTTATTTCATTTTAATTTATGAAGTTATTTCATTTCGTTGGGAAATGAAATAACTTAAATTTGTAAATTATTTCATAATGAAACAAGTCCCCAAATTTGAGGACTTATTCATATTTGTTTTGGGGAGTTATTTCGTGGGGAGTTATTTCATGACGTCCCGTTTGTAATTTCCAAAATATAATATTCCGACCCTATGAAGTATGAATCCTTATAGATAGCGGAGTCGATTAAGCCATGTCCGTCTGTATGTTTATTGAAATCAGTTTTTAGAAGACCCCAGACATCGGCAAGATCCGAATCTTCAATAATTCTATTAGGCATGCTTTCGGGAAGATCGCTATTTAAAATCAGCAAAATTGGCCAATAAATAACGGAGATATGAGCAAAAATCGGAGACAACCTCTGAAATTTCATAAAAAAGAAATTTTTTTTCATGCTTTTATACCCTGCAAACAATTGCTATCTA